AAGTTCTGTCTATCAGAATAAGGGTTCCCAAAGGTAAAAGACCTTTACTCGATGCTTGTTGTTAAACCAAAGATCACCATATCCCCGTCCACCTGGTTATGGTCCGCCACCGCCGCCTCCTGTTATTGGAGGATATCCAGCGGCTCCGCCGCCTCCGCCTCCAACTCCCCCTCCTCCTGGAAATCCTCCATTAACCAGCGGATCTTCGGTAGCTGGTAATCCACCGCCTCCGCCTCAACCACCACCTCCACCACTGCCACCACCACCAAGCGCATCTTTGACCTCGTCTACCTCAACAACAACACAACCCCCTTTGCCTTCGTATCCTCCTCCTCAACCGCCGCCTCCTCCATCATCTCCCGCCACACAACTGTCACCGGCGTCTAATAATGCTACTCCGTCTACCAGTAATAATCAAAATAAGGGTGCCAGCACATATAATGGGAGCACGACTACACCATACAATAATGCTTACGGAGCTGATGTAAATGCAGCATATAATTCATCGACAACAGCTTATAACCCGTATAACCCGTATAATCAAGCGAGATACTATCAGCAGCAGTATTCATATGGATATTATCCTCAAGGACAAGGCCAGACTGCGACAACAGGTGATTCAAGCTATTACTACGGATACTCATCGACCGGATATCAAGCACCAGCGACAAATTATACATCTGCGTATTCGAATGCTAGTGGCTATTCTGCCACGTCAGGTACCTCTCAACAGTCGCAGCATCAATCCTTATCCCCGTCAGCGTCAAGTCCAACGGGGTCAGTAGGAAGCGCATACGAAGACAAAAGCAACACTGATTATCATGCCGTTCCTCCACCAGATTCATATGATGAGGTTAGTATACATGATACAGTAATATATATTTAATGGGTTGGTTAGTGTTTAGTTGCAAGTAAGCTTTGCCTATTATACTGTCCGAAGGGAGTATACGACTAATAGTGTACTTGATGAAATTAAGTTGCGGCCTGGGAGGGGAGTGGGTATACAAAGCGTAATATAACGGTGCGCAATGAGCGCACGCCTACTTGCTGAACTAAAGTTGCGGCCCGGGAGGGGAGCGGGAAAACAAAGCGTAATATAACGGGGCGCAATGAGCGCCCG